CCTACTTCCGTAGTGATACTGCCTCGGAAACCCAAGGAGGGGTCGCTATGAGTCGGGTTTGACTCGACGGCACATAACAACAACAACAACAAAAGTAGCTTTGATGATGCAGCAGTTAAGGCTGCATTTAGCTGCTAACCAAAAGGTTGGTGATTCTAAGCCACCAGCTGCTCTGTGGAAGAAAGATGAAGCAGGCTGGTTCTGTAAAGATATACAGCCTTGGAAACCCTATGTGAGTCACTATGAGTCGAAATCGACTCGATGGCAGTGAATTTGGTTTTTGGTTTTTAATGGCTAATGATTGTGAGCATTCTTCATCTGTGTCTGTTCATTCCTCTGTCCATTTTTAATTGGATTTTTTGTGCTTTTGTGTTTTTTTTTATGTTAAGATGTTGACATTTTCTATAAACTTTGAAGTTAAGTCCCTCGTTGGATATGCCATTGCCAGATATTTTTTCCCAATCTGTGAGTTCTATTTTTATTCTTTTGGAGGAGAGTTTTGATGCTCATAAGCATTTAATTTTTGGAAGGTCCTGGTCATCTAATTTATCTTCTTCTGTTTGTCCATTTTTGGTTATGTTTGATAATCTATTTATGCCATAAATGAAGGCCTTTAGGTTCTCTCCTATTTTATCTTTGATGAACTTTATAGTTTTAGGTTTTACATTTAGGCCTCTGATCCATATTAAGTTGTTCTTGTTTATAGTGTGAAGTATGGATCACCTTTAATTTTTCTGCAAATAGTTACCCAGTTTTGCCAGTGCCATTTATCAAAGAGTCTGTCTCCTCCCTGTTTAATGGGCTTTGGCCCTTTGTCAAAGATGAGCTATGTGTAGGTAGATGGATTTATGTCTGGATTATAAATTCTGTTCCACTGGTCTATGTGTCTGCTGTTGTACTGGTACTAGTTCTTTGATATGTCTTCCAGTTTTTTAAATTGGAAATTGGATATTGTGTGAAAATTATAGAGGTTCTATATGATTTTTTGTGGGGGGAGTTTTTTTTTTCCAGGTCAGCTTTATACATTTCTGTTCATTTTATTCTGCTTTTTTTTTTTTTCTTTTTTTATTGCCTTAAAAGGCATGTGGATTTTTAATGTTATTGGTGTTATTATATTTTCTTTTAATCATATTTTTTTTTCAATAATAAGAAATTTTTTAGAAGGCACCCACCCCCCTGAGTTTCACTTATATTTCTTTCTAGCATATCATTCAAGTGATTCTATCCAGAACATTTATCTGTTCCAAAGTAACTTGTGCTCTCATACACAGTTGTTGTTGTTGTTATGTGCTGTCGAGTTGGACCCGACTCATAATGACCCCTCTTTGCGTTTCCGAGGCAGTATCACTACGGAAGTAGATTGCCCCATCTTCCTTCCGAGTCATACACAGTTAAAAGGCCTAAAAATTTCAAATGTCTACTACTCTTGGTAAAATAATTGAAATGTTTATCAGTAATTTAATGACTATTGCATATTCTATTATTTTTTATGCCATTCTCTATACACATTCTTTATTTTTTTATGCCATTCTCTATACATATTCTCTGTGCCTGCTTTCTTTCTATCTTTTCTTACATTCTATTCCAAAGGATAAGAAAAGTGAAATTACATATACTATGTTGCTAAATTTTAATAGTACATTTCTTGTGTACTACTTCTTCTAAGTTTTAGAATAAGCAAGCAACAGATTTCCTCAAGTGACATAGGTATCTTTGGTGTTTGTCCAGGGCATGGTAAACTAGTGAGATGTTTCTAAATCAAAAATTAACAGTCATCAGGCAAGCTTCCCTCTCAGAAATGTGAGTAGTGCTAAGTAGAAGGCAGATGGGTACTTTACCACCTAATTCTCAATTCAGAATCCTGAAGCTTCAAATATCTACATGGAAAAGGAAGAGCATATAATGCTTGTTGTTGTTGTTGTTGTTATGTGCCATTGAGTCAGACCCGACTCACAGCAACCCCTCCTTGGGTTTCCAAGGCAGTATCACTATGTAAGTAGATTGCTCCATCTTCTTTCCGAGGAGTGGCTGGTGGGTTTGAACTGCCAGCCTTCTGGTTAGCAGTCAAGTGCCTTAGGCGCTGTGCTACCAGAGCTCCCATATAATGCTTATTTATTATTACTAATTTTGTCAGTCATTTAAAAAGCATGATTTGGTGTAAAAACATTATTTAGCATGTCTTATTTACAAGTATTATTATTGAAATTCTTTTGGGTACTTATGTTACAGGTTGCTTATATCATTACAATAGAAGGAAAACATTATTTAGTCCATCTCACAAAGCAGTAAGTATTTTGTCCTTTCAAAGTTTAATTCTTTGGTTTCTTGATTTTTTTATGAATACATTTATATATTAATACCTACTATATATCAGGTAGGAGCTCTGGTAGCATAGTGCCTAAGGCACTTGACTGCTAACCAGAAGGCTGGCGGTTCAAACCCACCAGCCACTCCTCGGAAGGAAGGTTGGGCAATCCTACTTCCGTAGTGATACTGCCTCGGAAACCCAAGGAGGGGTCGCTATGAGTTGGGGCTGACTTGATGGCAAATAACAACAACAACAATATATCAGGTACTGGCAAAATTTTGGGCATACAAAAATAAAACATGGTCCTCAGTTAAAGGATTTATAATATAGGAAAATATATTGAGACACATAAATATAGGAACAGAGGTTTATTACAATGTGTATTATATTGAAAGTCACAAGGCTTCTTGTAAGGAGGTAAGAGATGACTTAAATCTTGAGGGAAGATACCTAATTATGTAAATAAAGAAGAGGGATAGGGAAGAGGGACTGTCTATATAGAAGGAAAATAATATGCAAAACATGGAGATGTGAGAAAGAGTGGCTTCTTCTCTGATAGGCAAACAGCCTATATGAATAACCAAAAAACATACTTTCTGGTGGACAAAAGTAGAAAATTCTGGAGAAGTAGTCAGCAGCCAGGTTATAGATCTATAATGCCATGGTAAGGATATTGGGAGCCAATGATTATTTTAAGCATTGTGTTGATATGGTCACATTGAGTTTTCTAGGCTGTTTGGAGGGCACAAGAGTAGAGGTGGGATGACCATTATATGACTATATAATTGTTTAGATGAGTGATGATGGTTGTCTGTACAATGACAATGGTCATAGCACTGGAAAGAAGATTCACAACATCTTGAAGATAGATTTGGTAGAGTAAATGGAAAAAAGTGAGCAATCTAGAGTGACTTTGTTGTGTAAGTAATGGTTGTTGTTGTTGTTGTTGTTATGTGCCGTCAAGTTGGCCCCGACTCATAGCGACCCCTCCTTGGGTTTCTGAGGCAGTATCACTACGGAAGTAGATTCCCCAACCTTCCTTCGAGGAGTGGCTGGTGGATTTGAACTGCCAGCCTTCTGGTTAGCAGTCAAGTGCCTTAGGCACTATGCTACCAGAGCTCCTAAGTAATGGTTAGATGACACTAAAAAAATAAAAACAAAACAAAAAAACCTCACAACAATTAGTTGCATAAGTAATGGGTAGATGATGTTGTTGTTGTTGTTATATGCCATCGAGTCAGCCCCGACTCATAGATGATAGTGTAGTTAAATAAAGCCAGAGGTAGGAACAAGAGAGATATTTGTGGGAAGAAGTGGTCAGTTTGATTTGCAGTGCTTATAGGATATTCAAGTTGGATTTTCCCACTAAGTAAATGGATATAGGAGTCAGAATCTCTGAAAAATGATTGGCATAGGGATATAGATTTTATTTATTTATTTATTTTATTTTAAGAGCTTGTTTTACATTCAACAAAATGTGTACATTTAGTTTCATTCCCCACTCACCATGTCCAACCCTAACCCAGTCTCCTCCCCTCCCTACACTGTAAACTTCCCCCTGTCCTCCTCATATTTATGGACTCCTGTTTATCCTCAATTTGAATGTTGGTCCTCTGGTGTCCCATGGTCTATTGGTCTAAGGGATGTATTACCATAGAGTGTGTGGATGCATCATTCTGGGTTGAGTGGTCTGCGTGTACATCTTGTTAACTATTGGGTTGAGAGCCCACCCCTGGGGGTGCATTTTATTCCAGGCACAGAATTTATTCTAGGGCCATAGTGTTGGGAGTCTTGCCAGATTTCATCTGACCAGTAATTCTGGTCATTATTGAGTTTTTGGATTTTGTTCCACATTTTCCCTCCCACTCTATCCAGGATCTCCAGATCTGATCCTTTCCTGAGTGGTTGCCATTGGTAGCTGGGCACCGTATAGTTCTTCTGGTATCAAGGGCCATCATGTTCTAGGGCAGATTGCTTCTAAATGCCCTTGTTTTTTTCTTTTCTTTTCCTTTTTTTTTGTGTGTGTCTTCTTCTTCACTTCTAATGCTAGGAGACCATTAGCTGTGTCTTAGATGGCCACTTGAAAGCTTTTAAGACCCCAGTCGCTACTCACCAATGTAGGATGTGGAGCAACACTTTTATGTATTTTGTTGTGCCAATTGAGTCTGGTGTCCCCCAGTACTATGGTCCTGAGACAGTAGATCTATTGGATCTCTCTCCCATAGTGCCTGGTTATCTGTGAGGGATTACTCTCTGTCTGTCTTATATTGTTTCTGTAAGGACTGCAGGTATTTTGTATCACTGGGGGTCTGTGCAAGATTGGGCTCCACTGAATCTATCCTTGGTCTAGAGTATACTTCTGTTCACTGACCCTGATCTGATCAAATCAGGTGTTTATGTGTTTATCTGTATAGCCTAGTGTTTGGTGTTAATGGTAATGTGGTATTGTGGACATGTTGGTTGGTATTAGCATCTGTCGTCTATCTCTTATATGCACAATTCGGTGTTCTCCCATTTCCTAATGTTATCATGGTGGTCATAGATCCTTCCTGTATATCACTCCCCCTCTGCATGTCAGCTTGTAGGCCCCAACTAGTCCGAAATTAATCCCCCCCCCTTCCCTCCTCATCCCGGTAATCTACTAAGTGAGTTCCTTTTCCCAAGCAAACCCTTCTCTGTCTTTTTACAGTAATGGGCTCATACAGTACTTGTCCTTCTGCGATTGACTTATTTCACTCAGCATAATGTCCTCCAGGTTCATCCACATTGCAAGATGATTCACATATCTCTCATTGTTCTTTAATGTGGCATAGTATTCCATCGTGTGGATTTACCATAATTTGGTTACCCACTCATCCGCTGATAGGCATTTAGGTTGTTTCCATCTCTTTGCTATGGTGAATTGTGCTATGATGAACATAGGTGTACAAATGTCTATTCATGCGCTCTCACCTCTTTAGGATATATTCCTAGTAATGGAATTGCTGGGTCAAATGGTACTTCTATTTTCAGTTTTTTAAGGAAACACCATGCCGTTTGCCACAATGGTTGTACCATTTTACAATCCCACCAGCAGTGTACAAGAGTTCCAATCTCTCCACAACCTCGCCAGCATTTGTTACTTTCTGACCTGTTGGACTTTGCTATTATTGCTAGGATGAGATGATATCTCATTGTTGTTTTGGTTTGCTTCTCTCTAATGATTAATGATTGTGAGCAATTTCTCATGTGTTTGCTGGCTGTTGTATATATTCTTTGGTGAAGTGTCTGTTCAAGTCTTTTGCCCATTTGTGAACTGAGTTATTTGTCTTTTTGGTGTTGAGGTGTTGAAATTTTCTATAGATTTTGGAGATAAGTCCTTTATCAGATTATGTCATAGGCAAATATTATCTTCCAATCTGTAGGTTCTCTTTTTACCCTTTTGATGAAATCTTCCGATGCACACAAGAATTTAATTTTTAAAAGGTCCCAGTCATCTAGCTTCTCTTCTATCTCCTGCACATTCTGGGTTATGCTTGATAGTCTATTTATGCCATAAATTAGGGCTCCCAGATTTGTCCCTATATTATCTTTGATGAATTTTATAGTTTTGGGTTTTACATTTAAGTCTTTGATCCAGCTTGAGTTTGTTTTTGTGTATGGGGTAAGGTATGGGTCTTGTTTCATTTTTTTGCGGGTGGATATCCAGATTTGCCAGCACCATTTGTTAAAGAGGCTGTCTCTTCCCCATTTAATGGGCTTTGGACCTTTGTCAAAGATCATTTGTCCATAGATGGATGGGTCCATAGATGGATCATTTGTCCATAGATGAACCTGGACTTTGATTCTGTTCCATTGGTCTATCTGTCTGTCATTGTACCAATACTATGCCGTTTTGACTACTGTGGCTGTACAGTAGTGCTTAAGATCTGGGAGTGTGAGACCTCCCGCTTTGTTTTTCTTCTTGAGAAGTGCTCTGCTTATTTGAGGTCTCTTTCCTTTCCATATGAAATTAGTAATTAGTTTTTCC